TATATATACATTATATGGCTCTAAAATGCATAATTCCTAGTCTGTATGGTTTTTGTAGTTGACTACTCCAATCCACACTAATCTCTTCTTTTTTCAGAAAATCCCAGGATTTATTAAATGTATCATATGCTTAGTCACTTGCTTATACACAGTCTCAAAATATCAGTTTTCTTCATTACATATATCCTGACTTTCAAAGACATCAAACTTTCCTTCTTATAGAGATTTTTTCATATACTTTTCCTTTGTAAAATGTCTCAGAGCATCTAAAATAAGATTGAGGTAGTTAGTAAGAACAAAAATAATAAAACTGAAACAACCCATGTAACATAAGCAATGCAGTTCTTGCTGTCCTCTCATCAATATTTAATATTCTACCAGTTTCTCTACCCTGTTTAGTAAGGAGCTTTTTTAAAAAATTGATTAAAAAGTATGACTCCTTCCTATCCTTATTACACAATTCTTAGCTATAAAGAGGCCTCCTAATTAGGAGCATATTTCCATTTGGTTTTCAAACTTTCATAAACATGTCAGATCTATAGTATCATTATCCATTAAATCATATGGGCTTAAACTTATTTAAAATACAAATTTGTAAATTAAATAATTCTGAGAGAATATGATCTAAAACTTGTTGAGAATATTATTTTTAGCACATGGTTGAAGTGATATGCAATCCACTCCATCTGTTGATCAGTTAATCTCAAATGTAGGCAGACAGAATGTAAGGACAACTTTTTCAGAATACATAGATTTGACCTCCTCCACTTCCATCTCTACATTCCATACTCTAATGATTCCAACAGCCCCCCAAATATGAGACTAACATATTCTCCTTTACTTATATGTACTTTTCCCTGCATGTCCTTGATTTATTTTTAAACTTCTCAAATTTTAATCTAAGTTTACCATGTGATTAAAAAGTAAATAAAATAAAAAATGAAGCTTAAAATTTCAAGTCCACTAACATTCATGTTTTAAAAGTCAACACGAATGCTTCTTTTTAAAGAATATAAAATTAAGACATAAATACAGCCCTTATCTAATTCATTTGTCCCTTTTATTGGCAAAATCTTTTATTTCCAATTCAATTTGTGCTCACAATTAATACTAGCATCCAGGTTTTTGATTCCTTACTTGCTAATAAATTATGTGTAGCCTCTATGCATTATTTTATTTACCTAGATAAATGAAAAATGAAACATAAATTCACTTAGGTGGAGTTTTGCCATACCAACATTAAATAATAATATTATAATTTGACTTTGTTTTTTAGTAAATCAAATAAACTATTATTTGTGAAATGTAGATACAAAATGTTTCACTAAAGTTATATCCCATTAGGGGGAAGGGAACATGGGGAGAATACTAATCTAAGAAATTCTCAAATGGAATTATATGTTAAGTATTGCAATCACACAAATATTATTGACCAATAGCTGAATTCTATGATCAGAGGAGAGATTCCTTAAATTTTTTAAAATAAGGTCATTATTTGTGTTCATTCTAATTTTTGTTACAAATAGCTAGTTCCTAGTTTTTGTTACAAATAATTAGATAAGAGATTAAAAGGAAGGAAAGTAACTGAAAATATTTTTTACTTTAAAAATTTTATCATCCTACTGCTACTACAATTAAAAGAATTAAAAAATACAAACTTTGTTTCAATTTTTATCATAATTAATTTTTCCACACTGTAGGTAAATTAGAGTTCTTTTCATTTGTGAAGGATAAAAAAACAAAAGATTTTTCGTACCTGGCAAATGCATAGATTTAGTTCCATTGACCGTATACAGTATCATATCTATTATTTGGATAGATTTTTTTCATTTTTTATTTATTCACACCCTTAAAATATATATACTTTTTATTGTTATTGAGGTGACACTGGTTTGCAGCCTTAATGATTTAGAGGTATAAGGTCACCCATCAGGTGTATGTCACCACACCTACCCACCACCAAAGACACACACTTTAAAAATATAGGTCATTAATGTTCTCTTACACATTTTCTACTCGAACACGCTGATAGTCAGAAAGTATAGCACCTACTGATACCCCTTCAATGTCTTCTTCTTCCTGAAAATAAAAGAAAAAAAAATACAAGTTCAAAAATAAACATGTGATGTTGTAACATGTTTAGAAAGGTATAAATGAGCTGTCTTATCTGAAAGCTACCCTGAAGTGGAGTAAGTTAATGAGATGCAATCCATATTCAGAGAAAAACACAAAGTACACTTCTCTGTTACAGGGAAATAAGTATTCTTCTTACTGAAAATCCAAATAACTAGAGATCATTTTACATGGAGAAGGCAGAAACTAGGAAACACTTCCAAAAATGATTTATCACAACGTATTTTTAAAGCCTCAATGGTGTTCAGTGGAAATTTTTGATAAATTCTATTTAAGGATATTTCCCAGATTGAGTGACTTTGAAAAAAAATTAAGAAATGGCATAAGTAGACAAGGGAACACAATGATTTTTATCTGTATTTTAGAAAAAAGACAATTGACATAGGAAATGCAGGAAGAAGAGATAGTAGAGACATTGCTGGGATAATAGGATGTAGCACAATGGATAAAAAATTCTATGATAGGGAGGAAGAAATGAATTATTATCAACAGAGCTATAACTTCTAAACCCAGCAGAATATTCAGCAGAGTCTCTTGGGATGAGGACTAGTCTATCTAGCATATTCACTAATGAGCAGGAGGAGAAGGTAAATTCAAATATGATCAAGTTCACACATGATAAAAAGCTAGGACAGATTAAAAAGAAAGAAATAAAGACCAATCAAGTACCTGGGTGGATAATGACAACTTGGGGAACTTGGGGGACAGGTCTAAGATGAGATTTAATATAAATAAGTATAAGATAATATATTTAGGGATGAAAAATACATAATACAGGTATAAACTAGGAAACTGTTATCTAGAAACTAGATATGAAAAAAGTGACTGGGGGGTAATTACTGATAACAAACTGAATAGGAATTCTCAGAATAAACATAAAATCCATCCTAGCACATGGAGCACAGAAGAAATTATAAGAGAGATGACTTCATTATTAATACTCTGGTCTTTACAAACTTGGAAAACTACAAAGAAAAAGAACAACACTTCACATAAAAGCAAATACAGTAGTTTGAAACATAATGTAATAATCCAGTATGTTTCCTAAAAGGATATCATAATAAATAAACAAACAAAAATGTGTTATAGGAATCATTCGCTCATGTCTTTGGAGATAATGCCAATTTAAAATTTCCCCTGCAAAATGCCAGAGAACTATCTCCCCCAAATAAAATGATTTTATCGGATGTTTCCAGGGAAAGAGATATTTCCTTTTCAGCAACTTTGTGAAAACATCTGTTTATAACCTTTCTCTAACCTTCCTACCCATTTTCTTTTCATGAAAGATACTGTAAGCATTAGAAGAAGTCAAAGCATAATGTTCTTCATTAAATGCAAATATGGCATAGGTCATAGCATAGTGAATAGCGTATTAGAAGATTAAAATTTCATTTATGGTCTTAGACCATATAGTTGTTTAGCTCAAGTTCTGCTATAAGAAAATAAACACTTCTGAATATTGTGTGGCAATGATGGCCACAAAGACAAGTACCTTGGTGTTCTTCTTTCTAAATTAAGCCAAACCACTATTAAAGTGATAGCTGACAATTACTACCAATTTAAAATGTGCTAACAATATATTGTGTTTATTATTTGCTCAAGGCAACCCTAAAATAATTCTTACTCAATTCTCCTTAGTTCACATTCATTCTCTGGAAGTCTCTTCTACTTCCGTCCCTGTTATTTTTTACTTATAATACCTAACTGATCAGCTCTGGAATTATAGATCTATCTGAATTCTGAAGTTTGCTAAACTGTGCCTAAATATAAATCATTAGTTGTATTGTTTAGCAATTATGGTTACTGCTATCAATTAAAAATTTAGCCCCACCACTAGCTCTGTGATTTCAAAGAAGCTATGTAATTTCTTTGTGTCTAGTTTTCTTATCTATAAAGTGAGGACAATATTACTTCCTGTTTTCAAAAGGGTTAATGTGAAGATTGAATAAAATGATCCAGATAAACAATACTGTTCCAGCACCTAGTAAACAATAGATTTTTTTCTGTCATTATAAAATAATCCCTTTTATTATTACTACTACTTCATAAGTATTTGTCTTATTATTACTACTAGTGACTACCACCACCACTATCCTAGATAATGGCCTAACTCATTCATTTGACAGACAGAAGCCTTTCATTCCTGGCAACTGACCTTTTGTTCATTATCACTTTCAACAATAGCTATTAACTAATCTGTAATGGTTAATTTTTACACATCAACTTGACTGGGCTAAGGGATGCAAAAGAGTTGGTAAAATATAATGTTTACGATGTTTCTGGAAGGAGACTTACATTGATGACACAGCCTTATCAGTGCAGGTGGACATCATCTAATCTGCTGAGGGCTTTCTCAGACACCAGAATGACCTATATCATAAATTAGTGAATTGACATTCTGGCTTATATATTCGGTTTAAGTCAATTTGGTTGGTATTAGTCTATATGCTAGTAAGGCTGATAACTTCTTGTTATTTTGTCAAAATCAAGTATCCAGCCTGGGAGTTATACCTCAGTTCTTACCAAAGGAATATTAATAAGCTTAACCAACCTCTTCCAGTGACAATGCTAAAGTTCATGCAATTGTTATTTTATTAATTAATATTAAAGCATACAACCATATTTGATAGGCACATACTCTGTATTAGTTTAACAAATGAAATTATCTCTACCACTGGTAGGTTTGGACACCAAAACTAAGTAATAAAGAAAGTGATGCAAAAGGGAAAACCTGGGTAAAGTTTCACAGAGGCAGTAACCTTAGGGCCTGTGCCTGAAGGGCATACTTGATTTTATTTAGACAGAAAAGAAAGGTAATGAGAAACAATTCAGAGTGAAGATTGTAAGACAAGGCAAGAAAATAAAGAAAACAAACAAAATAAATGCTTAGCATACTAGGAAATGGTCAGCACAAAATTATCTGCCACTAAATCCCAGATTCAAATGTTGTATTTTTACTCAAGTATTTCATAATCTTATCCTTAAGTAAATGTCACTTATCTAAGTCCATGCAACCTTATACAAACAAATAAATAAGATCTGTTGACTCTATATTCCCTTGTCTCCATATTGAAATGCTGGCTCACAAAGTCAACAAAATAAATTGAAAACAAGCTGTCCTTTCTTACAAATGAAAACTAGGACTACTTATTCTAAAGATGAGAAGATATGCAGCTTGCATTTATCGGGGATATTATTTTCTTTGAAAAATGCCCCAGTTACCAGTATTATTCTGTTAATGAGTTCCTGCCTGTTGAGAAAAAAATGATGTGTTGAATTTAAAGTGTTTTTCATCTGAAAGGCATTCTAAGATTTTTAATATGAACCATTCATTAGAGAAGCACACTTGCATTATAGCTCTGAGTGGTGATATTTGGACTTCTGGCAACATGACATTATTAAATAAGAAACATTTGTGAATGCCAGTGATGTTCTAGGGCCTGGATAACTAAACAAGAAATGTATATGGCCACTAAAGCACTAGATGCTTTTTCTTGGTACTTTTAATCCTTCATTTTAGTAGAATTACACAAGTCCAGGTTAATAAAACAACCAGAGTAATGAATACTATTCTACTGAAATAATTCTGAATGTTAACAGAATTTCCAAGGCATTTGACTCAAAATTTTGTTTGACTTGTTATAAAGGCTTCCCCCCCCTGCTTAAAATCATCAGTACAAAACATTTCTAAAATGGGGAACAATCACCATCTGGAAATCCTCCATTAAACAGAGAGCTCATGACAGAGTATTCGGTCACTAATTTGCAATATTATTGTCTCCCTTTGTGAGCTTTCTCAATTAAATAGGGGGAAGTTGCTAAAATTGAAAATTAAATGACAACAAAATTGCAAACTATCACAATCATTTGTCATTGATTTCCATTTGAAACTAATAATGCTTTAATTTACTTTTGAGTCTACATTTTAGTTCCAACTGTACAAAGTCATCCTAGACCAAATTCAGCTTACATATAAAACTGAACAGAAATCCTGCACTAGCTTCAGTTTCCCAAAAAAGTTTCTGCTAAAAAGATAAGGTGATATCATGAGACCTGTGAAACTTAAAACAACAAAACAAACAAACAAAAATAACACAATAATAATCCTTGTTAGAATAAAGCAGTGACCAACAAGTATTCATTTCTAAGCAAATGGTTTGAGAGCAAGCAAGGGTTTAGTTTGCTTAAAGACTACTTTTGGAACTCATTTCCTAGCTTTAGGGAAACTTCCTTTGATTAGAGATAATTTTTTTAAATGCAACTTTTATAAATGAGATATTTGTCATTTTTAAAATTATTGCAGCTTTATGGATATGTAATTGACAAAAAATTGTAAATGTTTAAGATTTAAAATGTACAAAGTAATGACTTCATATATGTATACATTATGAAAGGATTCTCACTATCAAGTTAATTAACACATTCATCACCACACATAATTACTTTGCTTTTGTTTTGGTTAGAAGAGTGAAATCTTTCAAATTGAATTTCTATAACTACTGCAGTACTAACAACTATATTCACCATGTTATACATTAGACCATAAGACCTAATTTCTAACTGAAAGTTCGTATTTGACTAACTTCTCTCAATTTCTCACAATTCCTGATCTTTGGCAAATACCTTCATACTATTTTCCATTGTGATTTTTATCAGTTTACATTCTGATTAATGATGTACAAGTATTCCTTTATATTCTTTTTGCATGTGAGTAACCAGTTTTCCCAACACCATTTATTGAAGAAATTATTCTTTACCCATTGTATACTCTTGATTTATTAAATATTGATTAACCATGTGTATCTGGGCTTATTTCTAGACTCTCTATTGTGCCCACTGATATGTCTATTTTTATGTCAGTACCATACTAATTTGATTTTGATTATGAGAGCTTTGTAATATAGTTGGAAATCAGGAAGTATGATGTCCTCAACTTTGTTCTTACT